AGTAACAACAGTACTATACAGAAAAACTGAAATTTAAAATATATATTAGTATCATAGATCCACAGCTGACAAAGTTGCTAGAAATAGAGTCTGGCATCTGCATGTGCAGGTATAAAGGACCAACCCAACTATCATATTGGGAATAAGAAAAAGCAATGAAATAATTACTTGTAAATCCACAGTGAGGAAACTCGACAGCACCATCTCCAAAGAGAAATCAACAACTTTTCCTTGATTCATACATCAAGAATTTAGAGAGAAAACATGTGCAGGTAACACAAGTATATATGGGAAAAGAAAGGCAAATTACTTTTATTTCTGTATTTTACTGAACATCCACATGCACCACCTTCAGTCCACGCCTTTGGCTGAAAAGACTTTGAAACGTTTTGGTTTGTCAAATCACAAAATACTGTGAAAAGTGTATGTGTGTGCTTGGAAAAATACAAACCTGCTAATAGATAGGAGCAGCTTTGCTGGTTTCTGGGAAGTTTAGCCCTTCTTTCTTCCCCAGAAGTTTTAAACAAGTTCAGATGAAGGCTAGGGAGCAGTGGTGAAAAGAGGTGCTGCTAGTTTCTTATGTAAACAAACAATTTTATGAAGTGACTTTCAATAAAGCAGCTGCTAAACATTTGCTCTGTATCATCACCACTTGCAAAGTGCTGAGATTTGGCTCCGTAGGCAGGTTTAAAAAAAAAGGCAAAGATGGAGAGGAAGAATGTCACAAAGCATTTAAGGGTAGATACTGCGCACACATCCCTCGACACTTCAATGTTCAGTCACAACATCTGCACCTGTAGAGGCCACAGATCAGTTCACTTCTCCTAATAAGACCTTAAAAAATTTGTTTCCTTCAATCACACTACAGAATAGAAGAGTAAGAACTCAGGAAAGTTATTTTTCAGTATCATACTGAAATATTAACTTGTGTATAAGACACACAAACCAAAAAGCTTTAAATTAGATCCCATAATTATTTCCATGTGAATGGAATGTGAGAACCATCACAACCATTACCCTGAGACACCAGCAGCAGCAAGGTGGTCTGCACTTCCATGCAGGTAACAGATATCAGCCTCAATTCCTATGTATATTTATAATTTAGTCCAAAAATTCCATCTCAAGAAGAATAAACTTCATATATCTACGCAGTCAGAAAGGTATTACAGACTCCAGGATGGAAGTAGCAAAACCAAACCACAGTAAAACTGAGGTGGCCTAAATAAATGCTGTATTCACACTTCAAAAATACCCTGTAACTATAACTACTTACTACTACAATCAAATTCTCCCTTCTTCACTGTTTCAGCTTTAGTTTTTTATATATTATTACTAATAACATATAAATGAACTTCAAACTAAGTGCTGTAAAACAAATGTTTCCTCCTGTACACCTGATATCCTCCTTGATGTAGGTCAAGTTGGCAGTTACACCTCGTACACTTGTGGAGTATATAAATACTAATTATGCACATGGCCTTTCTGCTCTTTCTTTGGATCATAAAAGATATTTTTAACGCTGATCTTAAGCAACAGTGTTCTAAGTTTCTCTATTTATCAGCAAATAAATGAGGCCAGCCTTAAAGTATATGCACTTCCTCCTATTCCTGTACTCAAAATTAAAGAGAGAAGAACTATAGAGATTTAGCCTATTTGTAACCCATTCTCATATTTTATGCAACTAAACTAAAGGGATTAAAGAAACAACCTTTCCCCCCAAGTAATTATACAGAAGCTTTTTAAGAATACCGTGTGATTATATAACTGCAGTTTAAATGACATTCTAGAAAAATCCTTGGAGCATTTCCTATGCTCACTTTTGCTATTAGGCAATGCCTATGACATGCATTGCTAAACTAAATATAAAATTTAAATCTATAAGCCAACACCAACAGTAATGAGTTTAGAGCAATTATTTTGCAAAAGATGTTTTTGACAGAGATTTCTACCATGAACTTCAGAAGGTAAATAAATCCACCTTCCATAAACTATGTAAACCCCTATTCAAGATTAAAACTCTGGCCACACTATTTATTTGAAGTGAAAGATACTTTTAGAAATGTGGATTTTACTATTCCACACAATGTCTCGAATCATTTTCATTATGCATCTACATGGATATGTTTGAAACTGCAATAGCACTGTTTGCTGTCACATCACTGGAAAATATAATAATAAAAAAGCCCATCAAAATGCCTGCCACTTCCCTTCCTATCTGTTTGCAGCTGACTCATTCTCAAGATATAATCCTGTGGCCATTTCAGAATCAAAGTGCATTCAGATCAAAGTAGTTGATGAGAAATTGCCGATGCACATACTGGGTTCTGAGTTTCAGTTCCACAAGGCATTGTTTCTATTGAAGATGGTGAACTATATTTTCACCCATCTCAAGGAAGAGAAGGTTGTTTTCTAAAGGTTTCCTGTGTCTGCCTTAGCTTCTAATTACTTAATTGGATTCCACAAATAGCCAAAGAAATACAGAAAAATAAAGCATTTTCATGTAGGACATTAGATCTTATGAATTCATATTAATAACAAGAGATTGTTAAAAGGACTAATTTTTGTAGCAATGGGAAAGAAAAGCCAGAAGGAAGCCATCCATTTCTGACACGGAATATTACTCTTGTTATGTATTACTTACATATATATTGTATATAAACACATACATATAAAATCTTAATATTGTCTAGAAACATTGTTAATAAATTAATGGCTTGGCTTCCAGAAAGTCAGCCATGTAGGGTTAATAATTGCTCTATATTGGGCATGTGAGTTTATTCTTAACAGTCACCTGCACTGACACATCTGTGATCAGAAATGCACACGAGGAAGATGCTGAGGTTTTGCACCAGAGTTGAAATCTGAAAGAGCTGATCAGCAGAATATATGCTGGGCTTAAACTAAGGCACTATATTTCTGTAAATACACTATTTTTAGTCTTTAGGAGCACAAACCCACCCTGATGATGCTGCCAACTTCTGTCTCTGCCCAGACAAAAACAAGGCTGAAAACTAATTTTTATTTCTATTCAATTACATAACAATTACTTATTAGCATGAGTAATTCCATGACTAATCTTAAAACTAACCTCAAATCACTGCTAGAAAAACAACCAAAAGAACAGTAGTATAGATGCATTATAAAAAAAGTCAAAATTAAAACATTTCCCATTTTAAATTAGGAGAGTGATATATCATTTAATATTAGAAATTGGTACATTATTCTCAACACCCTGAATAAAAAAAAAATAAAAATAAAAGGATAACAGAAACAAAGTACCATAGGACATGGAAGTGACCTGGGAAAAGTTCTCTACAATATGGAAGTAGCTTATATTAGAAGATGCATTGAAAACCATGAATATGTATTAATCCTGTGCTGTGGGGGAAGTAGTCTAGATGTACTGGTAACCTGTCATGGAGTCTCCAGGGCTCCTCGATCCCTGAGGCTGACCCATCCTCAGTTTGGCTCAAAGGACCTACTGACACAAAGCACAAGATTGGGACCGGCCTCTGCCAATATCATCTGAATTTTGTGGGCCCTCAAGTATCCACCAGCAAACTGGGTTCTTGAAATTTTAGTCTTTCAAATCATTACTCTCACCCAAACATTAAACCTAAGCTTAATTACAGCTAGGGATTATCTAAAATAAATGAGGACCTCCTCAGCTATCTGCAGAGCTGCTCAGTGCAGTGCTGTTCACTAAAAAGCAAGTTCAAAATCCACTTTACAAATACTACTCCACTCTGCACTGAGAGCACCCACATGGGGAATAAATTCTGAGCAGCCAGTGGACTGTAAAGTCAGACTTATTTTATTAACATAGTGCAAACTGACATGTTATTTGAAAGGCATGGAAGATAATTAATGCAACTACATTATCAATGAATCAGACATTAAAATATTAAAAGATTAAGTTTAGTTGATAAACATTCAATCTCCCTAAAATTATAAATAATAGTCAGTGTAAAGAATTTAAATATGAAAAGTTAAGAGTTTTTATTAATGTCTGCAGTGATTTAAGATGATTTGGCATCTGTATTGATGCCAAATACCTAAGAGATTATAGAAATAAAGGAATACAGACTTCAGCCCTGTGACTTTTATTGAATAAAAGTCTCTTCACAATGCCTCTATCAGCTTAGAGAAAATACATTGTTATATTAACTGAGTAATTTTAGCAAATAACTTCTGGTTTGTTTCAGAATACTCTGTTTTCCTTAGAAATTATTTCCATAACTTTGAATTTAAACTGGATAAACATATGGAAATAATATTTTTACATAATCAAAAATGGAAGCAGCAGAACAAGAGTTGATCTTGTCATATGTGCATCTGCTGTATGTAAACCACTCCTCTGCTCAGAAAACATCAAACTTATTGCATTGTGATTAGTTTTTTAATGTACAAGGTCAGCAAAAAAGCTGTTCCAAGTTAGTTAATAAAAAGTGTCTTCTGTTTGCTGTAGAACATTTCTCTGAACCTGAGTGATGTTTGAAAAATAAATGGTCACACAAAAAAGTGTGGTATCAAAGAGAAAAAATCCTCATTAAAGTTGTAATTTATGGATATTAAAAAAAATAATCAGAAATATCATATACTAAATCAAGTTAAAATATAATTTAAATAAATATATCTTTCCAATTTATCCCTTCCTCTAAAGTAGTCCAAAGCAACTAGTTTTTAGTTTGGATTATTTGCCTACTACGTATCCATTCTAAATTGAAGCTGATTTCATTTATCGGACAGGGCAAGACCTGCTGAAATCACTAACTTTAATTCTGTTTTATTCCTACCCCTGGAAAGCTGAGAAGTTTGGGTGGCTTGGTTCTTCCTTTACTTTTTTAAAAGCCCTGACTAAAACCCTGAAGATGAGGCTTTATGACAGGAAGATAACCCAGACAAATTATAGGAAGACACTTAGATGAGACAAAGCATAAATTTAATAAACATGACTAAAAATTTGGAGATGGTTCAACAATTATTCCATATTCACTTACCTCAAAGTCTCTTCTAGCTTGCGAATTTTCTTTTGAGCATCCCCTCTTTCTTTATCAAGATCATTCCGGATGCCATGAATCTACCATTTGAAGGAAAAAAAATACCATATTTCTGATATAACAAAGTCTGATTAAAAAAATGTTATTTTAAATTCTAAAAACTGATATAGACAACCATCTCTAAAATGACATAAAATACAAGAATAAGGATTAACAGAGAAGTATGATAACATGGCAAAGAGATCTATTTTTTCTTCTCAAAATGAGTATTATTCTCTAGAATAAAGAACTATTAGTAATTACATAAAAAGGAACTAGGATTTCTTTAGATAAATACAGGAAAACATACAGAAATCTGCCTAAAATAATGACATAACCCAACACTGACAAGTCCCCGACTAACCCATGTCCCTCAGCACTGTGTCTACACGACTCTTCAATCCCTCCAGGGATGGGGACTCCACCACTGCCCTGGGCAACCCCTTCCAATGTCTCAGAACCCTTTCAGCAAAGAAATTCTTCCTCACATCCCATCTCAACTGCCCTTGGCGTAACTTGAGGCCATTTCCTCTTGTCCTGTCACTTGGTCCTTGGTTGAAGAGACCCACCCCACCTCTCTCCACCCTCCTTTCAGGGAGTTGGACAGAGCCAGAAGGTCTCCCCTCAGCCTCCTTTTCTCCAGCCTCAACAACCCCAGTTCCCTCAGCCACAAGGGAACTCAGCACACTTGTGCTCCAGACCCTTCCCCAGCACCATTGCCCTTCTCTGGACACACTCCAGCACCTCCATGTCCTTCTTGTAGCGATAGGTGCAGCAAGAAATCAATCCCAATGCAATCCAAAATCGTCTGCAGCCTCGCTCAACAGAAAAAACTTCCCCCATAATCTTCCTGTCTCTTCTCCATCATCTCTTACCTAAATCAACATTAGTATATGTGTTCACTTTGAATAATCTTGCAGTATAAAATCTTCTGCACCACTAAACACGACCTCGGTATACCGCAGAGGATCACCATTGTGTAACAGCCACAAAAAACTTTGAAGCTCTAATTGTCCTCTAAATTTTTGTATTTTTCCCCAGTATATTTTAGTTACCATTTAAATTTGAAATACTATTTTAACTCCTATTGGTATTTAATCAATGCAGAATGAAAATGACAACTTTCAAGACCTCGCAAGGAACATTTCTTCTCTCCCCATAAAGCAACAGTCCCAGAAAACATGGAACACCATCTAACCCCCAGTTCCTAAATTCACTAACCAGGAGGAGACATTTTAATGAAGAATTTTTTTCCTCTGGTACTTTTGGATGGAGAGAGAAAAGCAGCTTCAGAATTTGGCAAGTCCCCAGGCACAGTGCCAACCATGGGTTTTCATAACATTTTTTTGCCAAAGACATTATGTACAAGGATTTATTTTGCTTTTAGGTTTGCTCAAGTAACAATGTGGTGATGGGACCCACTGACCATGTTTTTCTTTATTGGACAGGGAGCACAGGAAATTTTTTATTCACCTACCATCATTTGCAATGTTAAATTCTATTAAAGTCACTACAATAAAGAAAAACATACTCTAAAAAGTGTGTATCAGAATTGTAAGAGTATAGTTCAATAAAGAAATAAATTTTGAGATTCTCTACCATAACCAGTTCCATGCAGATGTTTAGTACATGGAAGCCTGAATACTCGGTTGGTTTGAAAGAGCCTCAAAACTGATGGGCTGTCTATTGGAGAGTAAAGAAGGTATTGCCAAACCTGGTAAAATTAAATATACTTAGCAGCCAGCTCAAGAATGGCTCTCAGGAATAATCTGTCACTGTTCTTACGCTCAGCTGAATGTTTGGAAAACAAGCGGTAGATTATTTATAAAAAGCAGGTGTTTCCTTTGCTTGTAAAACCATTTTGCCTGACTGGTTCCTGATTCAGCAGATAAGCACATTTAATCAAACAGTGACATTTAGGGTTACTACCTATTATTTGTTTGATGTTTAAATATCCTAGCAGGCAATAGCCACTGTAGACTAATAAAGATTATTAGATAATGGGTAGGTTCTTAAGTGAACAGACTGCACCAGAGACTTCATGATTCCTTTACCTGAAGGCAAGCTTGTTTTAGTATTTTATGGGCCAATCTATACTATTTTATGGATTTATATCCAGAGATGGTTCACAGGTATCTCTTCTCCTCCCTTTCTCAAAGATTTTACATTGAAAACAGAGTTACATCAGAATTTAGGAATAGGCAAACTCTAAAGTTATCTATAAAAAACTACTTTCTGGTTTACTGATACACAATTACAACTTCAATATCTGTGCTTACAAGTGTAGAGTGATTGCTGACATGCTCTTAGCCCATGCTAAATAGCATTCTCCCAGGTGATCCTCAACCCTCATTCAGGATTAACACAGGACAGGCACCACTGCAGAAAGGTAATACAGATGTATCCACCTTACTGTCCAGAACTGTGAAGTTTAACAGTGCAGCTGTGAGTCACCTGATGGCATTGGGACTTGGTGCCCAAAAACATGACCAGAGACATTTAATCTGCACTTATCTGCAGAGGAAGTGATGTTTTGCAATAAACCAATGTCCACTATACTTCAGTAACTTGCAGACATCCAAATTATGCTAATATATTTTTATTTTGACCTACAATAATTTGACCTCCAATCCTAGGCTTTTCTTGAGGCCATTGTTCATAAAAACCATGGCTTTTCTAAAAAGACAAATGTAGGCTAAGGTTACACCAAAACATATCTTGGAATGGAAAAGTATTCAAATTCAAATCAACAAAAGGCACTAACTCAACCCAAAAAACTCACTACAGTTCATGTTGCAAATGCTATTACCAAGTGACAAGTAGCTATGATAACAATTCATTATTTTACGTTATAAATTTGGAAATGACATGTTTGAAGAACACACCCTTTCAATTAAACAGGCATCTAACACACCCTCTTATTAAACACTGTTAAGAGTTGAACATACAATGTCACTAAAATTGAAGTTTAATTTGAAACCTATTGATGTTTAAAGTCTAAGAGAGTAGACAGTACTTGCAAAGTGCTTTAAGATGAAGTGTTTTTGATGAGAATTACATTTTGTAATTTAAGTTTCTGATGTAAAAACAACCCATGTTGATGTTATATATGACAACAGGTACCTAAAACCAGAGGTGGCATCTCTGTCCTTAAATAGCTGTACTTACAAACTTTCTTGTGTTTGTCCAGTTCTTTTTCCAATGCACGTGAAATGCTTGGATTACAAAATTTACTACTTTAGGGATTTCAGAATTTACATTTTTAGCTTCTGTGTACAATAAAATTGGAATCATGCATAAGATGGTGTATTTTCCTGAAAGCATTACCTGTTTTTCATATACACGCTCCAAGTGAAGTTTATCCTGTTGAAGCTTGTATTCTTGATCCTGTAAAGGAAGAGATTTGTATTCTAAATAAACAAATCACATTTTTCTTTCATTTCAAAGCAGTCATTAAACACACACACATTTGCTATTACATACAAGAGTCCATAAAGATTAAAAATTCAATTTATATCATCATTAAAAAATTATTTGACATACAAAGAACTCAACCAAGAGCAAAAATATCCACACATTAAAAAAAAAATAAAAACTCTCTCTGAAGTCATGATTCATGGTTTCTGAAGAAAAAAAGCAACTTGTTCTCCTGAGCTATGAAAATGCCATTCTGTACCACATCAACTATGAAATGAAAGACATAGGAGGAAAAGTAGATGCCAAAACTCAAACAGGATCGATACATGACACAGATGTGAAATTCATTATCCTGAGATAGAAGGATTAATTTAAATGCCTACAGGAAGATGGAATATTGAACTGAACTGTTAAATAGCAAAAAAAATTTAAACAATTTTGAAACTTATTTAAAAATGTTTACAATTTAGGAAAAATAAAAAAGATATTTGTAATTCCTTGATGTGTTTCTTTATAATGATAAGGATACATGATGATACATGTTTATGTACTTAATGATACATGTTTATACTGTTTTAACAAGTGAATTACAACAAACAGTAAAAAAGTTCCTGTGAAAATTCTGCTCTTATCCATTAAGTGATGTCTTTTAGTCATACTTTTTAAATCAATTATTAAGCATAAAATGACACGTTATTTATTTCTATGAAGAAAATACATATCAAGAAGCATGTTATATATAAGTGTATTTTAGTACATCTATCTAAATATTCAAATGACTGGAAAAAGTGAAAGGGCTGGTCATTCTTGAGTAAGAAATTCAGGGCTCACCCTCAGCCATTGCTGTTTCTCACGTTCTGCATCTTGTAACTGTTGTTTTAATAGAGACACGTTATGCTGCAATTCTTCAATGGCATCAGATGCCTGTAGGGATTTAACAAGAAAAGGAATTTTTATGTTGTGTTCCTCATTAGCTCTACAGATACATCTTTTGTGTTTTTAAATTCATTTCTTAAAGGTCCTTGGAAATTAGAAAAAATCATCAACTTGGGAAAAAAAAAAAACCTGTATGAGTTTACAACTCCAGATACGTCACTTCTGTCCATCTGGTGAACTTCAAAATGTAAACAAAGCCTCAAAAAATAACTAATAATAAAAAAAAACCTTGGCACTATCAATAGAAAAAGAAAAACATCTTGTAAATTAAATGCAGTAAAGTATCATCAAAACTTCCAGAATTCCAGTAAATAAATGCAAAAGATCCCATTTGTCCTCTTGCTCTAAGATTGGCTGATGGTATTTAAAACACAAGCCTTTTCTACAATAATTTAACTTGAAAATTATATTAAATATATACAGTATATCTACCTATGCATATTAGTTGATATCAACCTGACAGATGTTTTTATTGAAACAAAACAGAATTAATACATTTTGGGTAGAATGTATGTGTGTAGAATTTAAAAATAATTTCTTAAATATATAAATATTGAACATAATGTTCCATATTAAAGAGACCTGCAAGACAGTTTATTTGTAGAAAAAATTATTTTCCCTCATTGAAGAAGCCTCATGAAAACATTAAGTCTTTAAGACTGCTGAGGTCCCCTGGTATCCAGAATTTTTACAAGGAAAGTCAGCATAGTACCTTATCTGAAGCAGCTATGGAAATACCACCTGTATGCACACACACACACACACACACACGCACACACACACACACCCACCCCTCAAATTATCAGTTAACTTCAGTTGATTTTTCAGTCAAATTTGGGAATGAAAAGTTAATTTTTTTATTTTATTTTTTTTTTAAACTTATGCACATGAATAACTTGGGGAACAGAACTGTTCCTTGGATTTATTCATAAGTATTACATTTATACTGAGGAGACCACTTACAATATAAACATCATTTTAATGCCTGTTTTATGTGGAAGCATACCTTAGCTGCTGCGAGAGCATGTTCCTGCTTTATAAAATTTATATCAACATCATATTTACTTTGTAGTTGCTGAATGTTCTCCTCATATTCCTGTATAATATGGTCCTTGTCTTTCTGAAGTGAGCTGTGCCTACAAGTAGTAAGCAAACAGAATATGGAAATTGCTTTCATATTTTGGCATCTTACCTGCTCAGTATCAATTCTACTGTATGAATTGTATGCAAGTCTGCCTGTACCATGTGCTCACTGCAACAGAATGAAATGCTTATAAATAATGAAAAGATAACATACTCCTTATGATGGTTGTTTGGGTCAGTTCCAAAAATGAGTTTTACTCATTAACACATTTTTGTAACAATTTTCTAGTGTCAATTACCATTCACTGAGTTCTTAAAATAAAATTAAGAATGTTTTATTTCAGAAACTCCATATTCTTCAATGTTAAAAGAAGCAACCACTATTTAATTACCTTGCTTTCACTTCCTGAAGTTCAGAGCATAGTGCCTGGTAACGTTGTTCTGCATCAGTCTTTTCTTGAGATAATCTTTGACGCTGTAAATTACTATTTTCAGCCTCAACTGTCAACTGCTGCACACGAGCCTCCAGTTTTTTGACCGTCTGGTTCTAAAAGAGTAGGTCATTGTTGAGAAAACACCAGAATAAATCAGGGTATGACCCTGTTGTTATTCAGTAGCCTAGAGCAACAAGGTTCTTTGGTGGTCCAGAGACACAAGAGTTACAATAGCAAAGCTGTCATCAATCATGACAGTAAATTTTATGTTGTATATAAAGAAAATAAATAAATCTTCAAAATATGGATGTCTATTCTCCTCGTCAAAGTAACATGTCATCTCCCCTAAGCAAAACAATATGTGCAATTGATTTCTAAATGACAAATCTTTTAAAATGGGAGAGACAATAGATATTTCTATGGAAAATTGTAACGGATGATAATACACATAAAGCATTTTTAGACCTTTCATGAACCAAAAAGTGTGTTATCACTAGCAATATATACAATCTGTACCTGGAAAAGAGCATTTGAGGAAAAAACCATACATATAAAAAGACTTTACTGATCATTATAAGGATCAGCAGCTATAAAAGTCAGCTAAAAAATTTATTAAACTGTATAACATCCAGTGAAATCTGTAGCTCTTTCATGCTAAAATATAATTCTGAGTACTTTTACAACCATCATATGTTTACAGATATAAATATATATATATATACACACATACATATAAAATTTCTGAACTAAAACAAGGAGCAATGCACTTAAGGTTGCTAAAGAATTACAAATTTTAAACAACTACCTTTTATGTGCATACTTTGGCAAAAACACACCCCAGGATGTAAACAGTAAGATACACTAATATCTGCTATGGATTTGGAGGATACCAGAACGTTGTAATACAAATGCTACATTAACAGTAGGAATGCTATCTAGTTGTGTTTCAAATCAATTAACAAACATTAAATAATTTACCAATCTCCTTGTAAGGCAAGTACATAATCTCCATTTTATTACTGAAAAATGAAGGCATGGAGAAGGAAAGTGTTGAGCAGAGAAATACAGCAAATTCATATCAGGACTGAGAGCACACTGCTCAAGTCTCTGCTGGTATATCTCTTATACCTTTCCCTAATCCAATTCTCCATATCATTTATTTAATTACAGTTATTTCCTTTCAATAAACTACAAACATCTATCAAAAGCTACATCTTTTGCCCAGAACTTCATCTCTAAATATAAACAATTTTTAAAATGAGCACAATAAGAACAGGCAGGTAGCATGAGACTAATCTACTACTTCCCATTCTTCCCTGAATGTATGTTAATATGCACTGAAATAAGAGAACAATTCCTCAGGAGGCTGGAAGCAAAAAATAAGATGCAGCTGTCCTTCCAGGATATATGATTCATAGTTATTTTTATATTAAAAAAGGTCTGAAGATCAGGGAAGTGGAACAGTAATTTCACCCTCTATTAAAATAAAACTCAAACATCGGCCACCACAAGTCAGTGCCCATCACAGAGCTGTTAAATGAGCCTGGAGTAACCCAAGAACCTCACACTGCCAGAATGGTCACCTGAACTTTGTCAAGTGGTTTAAGATATTTCATGAACATAGCACGGCAACATTTTCCATCAATCCAAAGCCAGGTGCACAGCATGGGGGTTTTGGTGTTTTTTATTTGTTTGATTGTGGTTGTTTGTGACTTTTTGTTGATTTTTTTTTTTGTATGGGGGTTTTTGGCAGTTTTTATTTGCTTCATTGTGGTTGTTTGTGACTTTTTGTTGGGGTTGTTTTTTTGTGGGTTTTTTTTTTTGTTTGATTGGTTGTTGGTTTTGGTTTTTTCATTTGTTTGTTTGTTTTTAAGAACAACAATCACCCAGGAAGTCATACTTAATATGTAGCCAAAGATCACAATTCCTTCCTGCCCACCTCACCCCTCAGGAAGTTAATACTTGTTCAACGCACAAAACCCTACCTATCAGTTGTAAGGTACTAGTTAAATTGTTCAGCCAGTTTCACTTGTTAACAGCAATGGCATTCTTGACAACATGAAACTGAAATACCAACAAAAAACCCAACCCAAAAATCAGGAGAGAGAAAGTGAGAGAGAGAGAGAAAAAAGAAAACTAATTTCCAGTGACGGTCTAGTCTTTCATCTTAAGCCCTGCCTTGAACTCTACCTTGTTTAATTATTAAATCAGAAGCTGCTCAGCAAGATCTGTCTAGTTTTGATGGTTCTTAAATTCAATCTTGCTGACAGACTGTGTCCATTTTTCTCTGTATTTACTGTTACCTATGACATGATCTGAATGTTAATTTTTAAATTGAACATTCATTAATAAAGGAATAAATTTAGTTTGACATTGTCTTTTTACTCATTCGATTTTCTTCATACCTCATACCAATAAATAGCAGAGGAAGTTTTCTTGAGGATACTTGTTAATTTTTTGCTTTTTACATTGTTTATACAGTGGGCACACAATCCAAATTACACCTACTTACATGTTTCTAATTATTCTAGGAAAGAAATGCAATAAATTAAAATAATACAATAATTATTTTTTAAATCCTTTTTATTTGATCTTTAATCTAACAGAAGCATTTGATCATTCTGGAGGTGGGTAAGTAAGAAGTCACATGTATCTATGAAAATAGATGTGCTATGTAAATCCTTTTTTTTTATAATCTACAAATCTAGAGAGACAAAGGTTCTGCTAATTTGAATCAAAAACAGTAAGAAATGCTAGAAACAGTCCTTCAATACAAATGCAGAGCTGTGTAACATTCACTGAAGGGCTGTACCTTGATTAAATTTATCCAGAGGGGAAAAAAAATCCTTGGCTGGACTTGCCTCTCCCAAGACAAAACAACTGCACTGCACTACCAAAAATATTTCTCAGCTCAACAGTATTTCTGTAAACTTCTGCACAAATGTATGAAATGTGAATACTGGAAGAGACACTTGCTGTCATGACATATTTACAAAAGAAACCCCAAAAACCTTACGGTTGACTTTATCTGTTCCAAATAATCTTCCTCCATTTTGTTAAGACGAGCACTGGTGTCCTTAAGCAGATCCTGCATATCTTCTGTGTGCTTCTTCCGAATATTAAACTTCTCCTTCTCCATCTCAGCCACGGCATTGTGAAGCTGCATCACAAAAAATATTAGCAAACAATAAATGGCATCTAAAACTAGCATTTATTATTCTTATATTGTTACAGTATATCAACAGAACAACTAAGAAGCACAGGCCACGTTTCTGTCCTGTGTAACAAAACTAGATCATTGTCTCACTAAATAAGTCTGCTATGACTCTATGAAGTGATCATTTAGAAGTCATTTAAATATGTATAGAGGGCATAACTTATCCATAGAGAATACTAAAACCCATATTTTTGCCCTTCTTTGCTACTCTATTTGTTTACATATTTAAACTGAACAACTGCTGCACAAAATTAATGAATTTCTATTACAGAAACACTAATACTCTCTCCAGATACTTACCCTGCCTTATCAATTTGTAAGAAGCTGGAGAGCCTTGACTATCTACTTGTCTAATAAAAGGATTATTTGTGTCATTACTAACCCTTGATTTATATTCTAAACACCAGTGGCCTCTCTTTCTAGTTAAGCAGCCTCAAATCTATCTATACAATAGTAAATAATAACATGTCAAATTAACATACAAAATTCGTATGGTGCATCGGTTGAATTACAGCTAGAATGTATTTCTCAAGTTTCTAACAAATCCATTTTACAACTGAAGGAGAAAGCTGCAATACACAAAATAAAAGCATCATCTAAACATACTACTAAAATTAAGTTAATTTGCACAAATATAGATTTTTCTCTCTAACATACAGGCTAGAAAAATCATAAAAATGTCTGAGTCTGGGCCATTATTTAACAGACTTCAACCCTGTGCAGTAACTTAGTAACTTAACATAATTTTTTTTCACCCCCCAAATAATAATGCTAATAAATTATCATTATAAGTATCATGTATATACTGTGGTGTTCAGAAGATTTGCTGAATTTGAGATTCTTATAAAATTAATCAAGAAAAAAATAAATTTATTAATATTTAATCTTCAGGAGCATAAGATACAAATAAGCCCCAAACTTCTGGGAATGTCTCTACCTCCTGAACAATAGACTATAGTACTATTTGCATTATTTCCAGCAAGTTCTATTCAATGAATCTGCATCTATTCAAAGGAAAAAATACATAGAAGGAAGTAGTATATAAAGTTATAAAAATACTGTACTCTTAACTTTTACTGTATTTCCATTATACTTCCCACTATCCATGTTTTTCTGTAAGATGCTCCAATCTCATGTGCATAATTTAATTGTTAAAATTCATATTAGCATTTTAATTTGCCTTCTTGTTTGAACACTGGGATCATTGATGACAGTTACAGCTCTAGAAACAGCATTTGCTAAGGTAACTGCAAAAAGTGAGATGACCTTAGGCTGAAAATAATACTTCTCTAAAACAAGAAAACCTAAAACCCTGAGGTCTCAAGGTCTTAAGCACAAAGGACAAGATTTATGATTTATCTCTTACAAGACAAGAACTAAAACCAACATCACTTCCAGATGCAGGGCTGCAAAGAAATTAAATTAAACAGCATACTTCATCTATGAAGGGAGGTGGTTTTGCCCTTTTTGTGACCCTCCATCTCCTGAGAGGAGTAGGCAAAACAAATTTGACAATAATCTGGGCAAAGGTAAAGCTGTCTTGCAAATAAACATGCCTGTCTCTCTGCTTTGCTGCTGTCTTGAGTCTAACAACAAATAAAAACACATGGAAGAATTCATGACCCAATGCAAAAGTAACAGTTCAAAGGAATCACTGTGGCAGCAGGTAGCAGCAGGTTTACCGAGATTAAAATTCCATGTCAGGTCAACCAGAAATAAACACTTCCCTAATACACCCAAAGACTTGCCAAGAGGGCCAGAGGAACCCCAGGAACAGAGGGACCAGCTGGGCAGGGGTGGCTGGGGGGGCAAGCATCAGCAAAAAGAGTCTTGCAAGATTAATCCAGGAAAAAATAAAGTCAGCATAAGAAAATATCACTAAAAGCAATGTACTCCTTATATTTATTTTTTTTAAAGTGACAAAATGTTATCCCAGATATACACTGTAGGAGTCTTTCAAAAAAAGCAAGTAGTATTCATTACCCTTTTCTCCCACTCATTGTTCAAAGAATCATTGCTTTGCTCACACATCTTCTTTAACTCCACAATCTGCTTATCTTTCGATTCTTTGATGACTTGTGACTCACGAACAAGGGTCTGAACTGTCAAAAATGGGAAAATAAACAACCATTCAAGAGATACCTTTGGGATTTTTCAGTGTTGGCAACAGATGCGATCAGACTACATGAGTTTTCCAATTGACCTGGCTTTCTGATGATTTGTGGCTCTTAAAAATACTTAATGCCTGTTCTTTAAAATTTAGCACTTAGATTCTGTGTCACTAAAATATTACAAGGTGTTCTATATTCTCTACTTTATTTAGAAAATATTTTTATAGTGACTTTTCCTTACTGAAGCAGTAAATACACATCAACAAATTTCTGATACTAAAGAAAACAGGCATTTGTGACCTCATTTTACATGCATCCTTAGGAGAAAATGTTCTTGTGAAGGTTGAATGCCCAAGATATACATGGAAATTAAGTTCCCCAACTTAAATTGCAAGTGACTGCATCAAGAATTCAGAGTCTGACAAATTTTGTGGAAAACAAAGCATGTACATATTCACTTTTCAAAAGTGACTGATGGTTTCCACTCTCCAGCAAAAGTGTAGGCGACTCAAACACAACCTATTACAGCTGAGTGCAACCACCAGCCCACCAAGAGAAGCATCAGATCCCTTGTCAGACAATTTACCTTGCCAAGGAGCAGGAAACAACATTCACGGAACTCTCTCCCTTTTTGTACGTAGGTTACCAAACTTGTGTATTATTTCATGTTGTGGTTGAGTCCGTAGTGTAAATGGACTCCAAGGAATTTGAAAAGAAACTAACATTCAAAAACTGCTGACAAGCCACAATCGGGCCAAGTTTTATACTTACGACATATTCAAGACTACTAATGTTTGAATTCTCTTGCCGCAATAATCCTAAATAAATAATAGACTGTGGTTTGATTAAAATGTACTGAATGTCTAAATAAATTAATCTTGAGCCAGAGATTTCAAAAAGTTTGAAGTAAGTGGTCAAAATACCTCAGTATCATCAAAGAGGCTTTTTTTGGTGATGGTCATAAAATCTGAAAGTATTAAATACAACAAGATCACATAGTCTCTTGGAAAATTTGGTTTGGAAACTGGACAACAAAGACAACCAGACAAGCCTCTAAAAATCTAAAGGAAAAAATTAGGTCAAGACCTTCAAACGAAGAGGAAAGAGACATTTGCACCTAGAAGGAACACGTAAGCCCACAGCCACAAGAAGGATGCAGTACAATACCACCACACAGAAATCAACAACTGAATATAACAATCACCTTTTTTCTCCAGTTTTCTAATCATGTCCTCAGCTTCATTTAGTTTGGCTTTGTAGAGGGACTTCAATGCCTCTATTTCATCATTCTTTCTATCTAAAATCTGTAGAGAAAATTCACAATGGTTTAATAAAAGTCCAAAAAACCAAAACTACAGTTGGTGCACAAAATAATACACGCTGATCTCTGTCAAGGGAGCTGCCTTCAAGAAGTGCTTAGGTCATGCAAGACTTAGTGATTAAATTAAGTAATTTTCACAGCTAAGACTGTCAAGTCATAAACAAAGGATTTATTTTGATAAAGGAAGGTGGCAGAGTGGATTAAAATGAAGTTGCATGTTTTAGGTGGGGCCTTCTTGTTTTCTTTTACACTTGGGCAAATCCAGTGATGCTTTTGTTGAGTTTGGATGTATGATGGTGCTGCTACTGTAAATAGAAAGGATTTGTTTCCCTTTTCATATTTATGTTGCCTAATACTCTTTAAAAATCATCCATAATTCTCAGTAGGTTTAAGAAATACTTAAATAATTGGTGGACTTTATTACACACTTTTGTATTTCACTAATTGCAAGTCTTTGTAAGTCTTTGCATGTGTTCCAAGTGGGAATAGAGAAAACACATGAGGAGCAACTACATTCACATTTCTGTAGATGCTGACTTTGGAAAAAAAATAAAAATGCTTGAATATTTGCACACTTTGAGATAGTATTTTAATTTAAACTTCATGTTTAAGGTAAACATTAAAGTCACAGAAATTTTCTAACAGTGCCCCAAATCTCTCATCAAACAGAAGCTTTCATCTTAAAACAATATTACTTCATCTGCATTAAATGGTTTGTGTCTTTAAAGATTAATATGACGCTATTTAACCTTTTCTAAAATATCCAACATTATTAAACAACTTCAAAAGACGGAATTCTAACATCAGTTCGGAAAGGATGACAACTCAAGGGATGAGAAAGCATTTAAAGTATTTCTTATTCTCACAAAGCTGTTTCCTTTAGACTCCTGGCTTTGCTAGCTAGTTATGCTTGCAGACTTTGAGAACAGATGAGCCAAATATGCACCTGACCAAATATTAACATCCTTTCAGGAGGCTTTGATGTGTCATAGTGTTGTGTCAACTAACTTCCTCCAAGTCTGTGACTCAGTCTTAAGAAACAAAACAGAGGTAACTCAGTAAGGCAAAGCTTACAGTAGGATAAATCAGCACCATCCTGACACTGAGCATTTAACTCCCATTACGTTCCTGGGATCAAAGTGTTTCAGAATTTGACCCCACATTTTTAAAACATGGTATTAAAAGTAACAGTACAGTCTTTGATTTTCTTTTTAGAATTTTCCCAAAAGCGGTGTTATGCAACACAATAAAGACAAATCCAACTTAACCCAAAGCAAGTCTATCTGGAGTCATTTGATTGCTGTGAAGAATTAAAAGCCACATACAGTGTGGCTGTATATAATTTTATAATAAATAATATAT